TCAAATTTTAAATTACTTCGCTTTTCAAAATGTCATATATGTATTTTATTACAGGCAGCATACAATGAAATAAAGATCATTTATTTTTTTTCGTTTTTTTGTCATTTACAAGCACTAATATTACTTTTCTATTCAAGATAAATAAAACATGAGACTTAACATCAGGAAGAGGAAGCTTAAGTTTCTGGGACACGTAATGACAATGATAATGAGGGCCGGGTGAATGTGATAGTCACAGGTCGAATAGAGGGAAAGAGAGGCAAAGGAAAGCAACGCATGACATACCTGGCGGGCTTAAGCAAGTGAATGGCAGAGGTGGCAGGGGTTTCGAAACATAATGAGAGCTACAAGGGATAAGGGGAACTAGAGGGCCATGATCGCTTCCGTCCTGAGATGACACGGCACATAAAAAGAATGATTTTATCATGCCGACCATCACAGTCCTGCATCGAGGTTGGAAGGTCATTAGGGTGGAGTTCTGTGTCATAACAGAGCTGGTCAATGTAAGCGATTGCTGGGCGACCAACGCGTCTCGCTCCATGGCTAGGTATCCAGGTATCGTGAGTTTAAGTTTTGCTCGCTAACAGTTTCCTGCAAAGTGCATTCTACGTTCTTGTAAGATTGTAGAAATATCAGGGATGGGTCCACAAAGCTGTGATTTAGTTGGATGTTGTCTCCAAGAGATGTTGTGTATAGCTATCAGCATTCGAGTGTAGGTTCCATCAAGCTTAAACTGAGGGTTTTAGTTAATGTATATTTGTGTTACTGTGAGTAAATCGTGCGCGCAAAGATACATATGAAAAAAGTCAAATTTCCGAAGATTTTGATACAAATCTTCCCATCACCATTAAAAAATCAATTAGTGTTTTGACGCCAGTCTATCAATTAACAAATTAAAATTTATTGAAACAAAACAATTACAGTTGACCACTGATGACAATTCCAGACAAACGTAACAATAAACAATTTTTTCTAACCTCTGCCAGCCGCAATGATGGAGAAAGCATTACCCGAACCATCGCCAGTGAGACACGCTGCAAGAGCCACTCTGTTTCGCGAGGCTTGTCCCTTAATCGAGACACCATCGCGCCAATGCTCCGAAGGAACGCCATCAAACGAGGGCCAATAACCCCAGAAGTCTCCACTGCCACAGGGGTAAAAAAAAATCTATCAGCAAGAGAAGAATATTTAACTATTTTTTTTTTTATCTCTGCGTCTATCAATTGTCCTTCAGTATTATTATAGTAAATAATCTACTCTCCTGTCCTTTCGTCATTGGAGACTGATCTTATAGAAGTATTATATACAACATTTGGGGGGATTATTTTTCTTTTGATGGCTAGGCGGAGGGATTTTTTGTCAAGCTTATCGCATCATTTCCTGTTCAAAAGAAAATAGTTGCATAATTAAAATAATTAAATAAGCAAGAAAAATCGCCGAAGAATTGAAATAAGGAGTAAGTGAGTGTGAGAAAATAAATATTAAATAAGTAAAGAGAAAGATAAAGAGAAAGGAGAGAAAATTAAAGAGGAACTATTTTAAAAAAGCGGAATAGGAAAATTAAAAGAAACGAAAAAGAATGAAAAAAGACTAAACGGATGGATATCGGAAAGAACAAAAGTTAAGAATAAATGCCTACTAAAGTATCTGAAAAATAGAAGGAAATTAAAAAAAAGCGAATAATTATGAAGAAACATAAACAGCGTTAAAATAAATGCAGTAGATATCCTCCAATCAGTTCTTAAGAAATGGCTTGTAAATTTTAGCGCTTCCAAAACGAATCTGCTATCTTTTAGTTATAGAAAACATTTTTTGCCTTTCATCAGTATGGCTGATGGTAACCTCCAAGAGAGGAGAGAGTTTCGACTGACATGAAGTGGGATGATTATATTAAATCTATTGCAAGGTCTGCTGCAAGAAAAGTTAGTTTATTGCAGACATTTTTTTTCGCCAGAATACGTCTTGCATGTTTATAAATCTACAATTTATTCGTGCACTTAACCTCGCTTCCATATCTAATAAGGTACTCTTGCTATATTTCTCGAGATTCTTGGCAAAATCCCAAGAAGGGTCTGTAATATTACTGGTCTTGATCCTGATCTGGCATCTCGACTTCAATCACTTCCCCCACCGTCATGATGTAGCTTCACTGCGTCTTTTCTATAAATATTTTCATGACAGTTGTTCTTATGAGATTTCCTCCTTGGTATCTCAACCATATCAATTGAAATGTACTACTAGATTGGCAATTAGTTCTCACCACTCATCAAGTTTAGTAGGAGAGAAAGTACGGGGAACAGTGAACTGTGAATAGATTGAGCACTAGTTCATTCGATACACTCTCACTAGTCGTGTAATACTCTCCTGGTGTACTTACTGCTTAATATACGATATATCTGCAAACCTGGTTTTTGTTATTACTTAAGCATTTACTTGGTCACAACATAAGTCTAATTTAGTTTTACTGTTGAAATAATTAGATTTAAACGTAAATTATTTTCTTTACTTTTCTCGCATTGTCTCGCCTATTCTCTTATAATTCCTTGCTTCTCTGTCACAATCTTCAAAAATTTAAACGCAGCATCAAGCGCCATCTTGTATCTTCCTGGATCCTGTTTCATTGTTGTCATTTCCCCTAAATAATGTCTTCTAATTTTCTTTCGTTCTTAGTAATCTGTTGTGTCTTAGTGGCATTATCGCCTTCCTTGGAGATTAAATGGTTAAAAACTGTAGAAAAATAAGGAGAGGGTGAGACAATGATGTATCTTCTCACTATATTTTCTCCATATTTACAGCGAAATGGTCCTACTGGAAGTTATTCATTGCGGATAAAAACTTAACAGCATATGATATACAAGTGACACAGTGCAGATAGCAAACAAAGAAAGGTAACTGCTGGGAATTCTACAGATGGTAGTAATGGAAAGCAAGAAGAAACGACTAAATATCAACTGTAAGAAGGCAGAAATGTATGGTTGTTAAGAAAAGGAACAGCCTAACATGGCAACTACGAATTGAAGACAACAAAATCAAGCAAATATATATATATATATATATATATATATATATCTGTGAAGTGTTTTAACAAAAGACAGAAAATGTAGTATCTAAATCTGAAGGTGGATTCGGGTAGAGAAAGATGCCTTACAAAAGCAAAGCAAAGTATCAAGAAACAAAAAAAAAATTAGAAACAAAGAAAAAAGTGCTGAATTGTTACAGTGGGGAGAAACAAATATTTGTACATATGGAATCTGTCTATATTTCTGAGATGAGGTATTATGTACATTATTTACATTATTCGGACTATTGTCCTCACCTTTGTTGCCATGTTTGTCACAACGTTTCGGCCGTTGAACGCTCCGGCCTTCTTCAGGTGGTTGGAATGTCGAACTGAACCCTTTATTTCGCTCACTGGGGTAGACTGTTCTAGTTCCACATTACATTATTAAGAGATTAACCTACCCAACATTTGTAAATGGATAGAATATAACGGGTGGGGAAATACAAAATTTACTAAAAGCTATAAGGGATAGGAAGTTGTGAAGCGCCATGATCGGCCACGTATCTGCAAGCAGATAAAAAAGCGTTGCTGGTACCATTTATTTCTCTGTTGATGTTGAAGTCTTCAAGTCTTATTTCCTCTCTCCGTTAATTTGAGATCGCTAACCCCCCCGCACCCCCCCCAAAAAAAAACCCCACATCATTTGCTATCACTTATCCACCCTGTCCCTTTATACCTGCCATCCGTCATCTCCCCGCAAAACTACCCATAAAGGCAGGTAAGCATAGACGGTTACGTAGATAAAACAAAGAAGAAGATAAAAACAAAGAAACAATAGAAAAACAGGTACCCCACCTCACCTTGAGTTTCCAGGCAAAACAAGGGAATGTTAAGCAAACTCATTACCTTGTATCACGAACTGGTTGGATTCTGATCCGGTCCCCGTGCTGGTTGGGTCGGGGGGAGACATGAGTCCTTGTCTTATCGGTGTCGTGTTGTGCCGAGCCGTGTCGTGTCGTGTCCCCAGTCCTTGTGCCGTCCCTCGATAGACAAATGCTGTGTCTGTCATGACTAGCTGGCAGCCATACAAATACCTATGTTCGCGTTTATTGAAATGATGGGGTGGGTTGGGGAATGAGAGGAAGAAGGTAGTGATTCCATTTAGAAGCCCACCCACGCTTCTGAAGAAATGAAGGGATAAAAATAAGTAGGAATAGATTGATAGATACGAACACATATCCACGAAGACAGGCACACACAAATATTAACATTATCTAACTATCTATATGAACGGACCTATATCGACAGATGTATAGATAAATATAGATAAATAAATGCAGAAATAGCTATAATTAGATTAAGACAGATAGATAGATAGATAGATAGATAGATAGATAGATAATGAGTAGTTCAGGATAAACAGATAGAGAGACAGACAAATAGGAACAGATCAAGATATATATGAACAGATTGGGATGGACAGGTAACAAGATAGATATAAACCCCAACAGATACATATATGGAAAGCGAAAAAATGATAGATCAATCGATATATATATATATATATATATATATATATATATATATATATATATATATATATATATATATATATATATATATATGTGTGTGTGTGTGTGTGTATGTATGTATATATATATATGTATGTATGTATATATACATATATATAGTTAGAGAGATAAATATCAGCAATCAATGATAGATAAATAGATATCAGAAATCAGTGCTAAATAGATCGATCGATAGATAGATATCAGCAAACAATGATAGAGAGATAGATATGTATTAGTATAAAATGAAGATTACAAAACATTTAGATATAAAACCAATTAGAGAGAGACGCATATGGAGAGGAATAAGTAATAGATAGATAGATAGATAGATAGATAGATAGATAGATAGATAGATAGATAGATAGATAAACGAATCAAAATAGATAGACAAACATCAACAATCAATGATAGATAGATATCAGCAATCAATGATAGATAGATAGATAGATATCAGCAAACAATGATAGATAGCTAGATAGATAGATAATAAAACATTTAGACATAAAACCAATAAGACAAAGACACATACGGAGAGGATAATGTAACAGATAGATAGATAGATAGATAGATAGATAGATAGATAGATAGATAGATAGATAGATAGATAGATAGATAGTGCATATACAAATGGGAGAAAACATCTGAAAAAAAGAAATGAATCTTGCCTTAACAATTCTAAGCAAATTAAGAACGTAAAAAGCAATAATATTAACAAGAACAAAGAGAAGAATAATATGTTTTTTATTATAATAATTCCAATTAAAGAAGAATAAAAAGATACAAAAAAGACAAGGAGGGAAATCAATTACCGTATGATACGGCTGCCCTCCATTTTTGACATCACGTTTGTTATGGAGTGCAAAAGAACTGCATTTGATCCTGCAGATATAAAAACGCTTTCTTGGACAATAAATGTAAGATTATTTGAGATTTTGAAATTTTTTTTTTTTTTTTTAAGCCAGAGGACCATATCCAGTCATCGCAGACAAAGAAATCATAATTCAGAACGTTATTTTGTCGTATCTGCGAAGCACAGATGAAGCTGAAAGTTTGATAAATATATAGAGTTTGCTGGGGGAATAAAAAAAATATGGAAACTGTAATTTAGAGAACACTCGGAACATCCTGAAGAGATTTGTGAAAAGTCTGAAATAATTAAAAAAAAATGAATATCACAGGAAGATTAGAATTATTCAGACAACGGCCATGATGAAATTGGAAAGGACAGTTTCGAGTAGGGGAATATATAAGGCACCTTACTTTCACTCCTGGCAAACCCATCGATATAAAAATTCATTATTATAGTAATTGGAGTAGGGAACCAAAGATTATTGCAAGAAGAGTGAAGGAACGAGAGGAGGATGAACGAAAGGTCATTACTCAAACGCCAGCCATTTTGAATTGATGGGAATAATGAAGAATGCACGTTTGAGATTTGTTGTCACTTGATCCTCAATAATGACCAGCAGATATTTCAAGTGTAATATAATGACGACACTGATGATGATGATGATGATGAATAAGAAGAGGATTAGTAGGAGTAATAATTTCATTGAGAGACGGAGGAGGAAGAGAAAAGCAGAAAATGAAGAGAAATTAATAAAAATAGCAAAGAAATACACCAGTTAAAAGTTAGAGAAATTTCGCATGCTGTTCTTCTTCGATATGCTGAGTCATTTCCGGACGTTAGCGATTATGGATCTCCACAATTTCCTGTCCTTTTAGCTCATAATAAATTCTGTCTTTTTATCTCTCCTAAAAGTTATCCCGACATCCATTTACTCAAACTCTCTAAGTAGGTTATGCATTGTTTCCCTCTGTCCCACTTGCCGTCAAGTGGGGCAGAGAGAAACAATGCATAACCTTTGAGTATCAAAATTGCCAAGCCCTCTTTCCTCATTATATGCCCTAGAAATTCCAACAGTCTCTTCAGATATTAAGTATAAGTGTCCTTTTTGTTTCCATTTTCTTTAAAACTTTGCGTTGCTCACATGTTCAGTGTATTATATTCTCAGTATCCTTCTGTAGAACCACATTTATGTTTCTTCAAATTAGTACTTTATCTCCGAGGAGATTGTCCTGCATTCACTGCCATATAGGAAGACCGATATTGCATAAGAGTTCAGTATTCTTTTCTTTGTTTCTAACGAAGTTTTTCTGTTTCTTAATACTATGCTTAGCTTTTGGGTGGCATCTTTCGTTATCCTAATGCACCTTCTAATTTGAATGTCGTACTTTCCGTCCTCTGTTAAAACACTTCACAGATATTTAAATTGCTGTAATTGTTAGATTTAGTCATCTCCCATTTGTAATTTGTATGTTGGGCTCTTCGTTCTGCTAGCAACCATAACATGTATTTTGTTTTCTTGGAATTAATTTAATATTTACTCCTTTCTTCTGACTTTTCTTCATTACCTTCCGTTGGAGTTGGAGTTTCCTTTATGCATCTGCTATCAACACTGTGTCATCTGCATATTTTATGTTATTAAGATTGTGGCCGCCAATAATGAATCCTGGTAAGGCTTCTAATTCTTCCAGAAAAAAAAAAGAATTGAGTAGTGAATTCGATCCTCAGTGGGTGCCCGATACTTTCGGCCTTATGCCACATGTAAGGTGGGCTTAGAAAATCGCCATAAAATGAGATTCTTTGAGACACAGCGAGTGAGGCGGATTTCTCTATGTCGGGTAGATTTTGAATAGTTGTATAAGTGTAATAAACGTGGATATAGTTGCGAAGAGGGTATCTGAAGAGAGAAACTGAATCCCTGTTGATGTTGCTTCAGAAATCAACATAAGACGTACTTGTGTGAAAAGTAAGTGCTGCAATAATAATAATTGATTTTGATCGGAAGCATGAGAACAAGAATGCAGAACATGTCATTAACGCGAAAAAAGAAGACAAATATCCTTAGAAAAGAACGGCGATGCACTTGGATTGGTAAAAAAGACTAGGATCTGACCATGCAAATCATAGATATATACACAAACCAGAAATCCCACGAAAGAAATAGACAAAGTATAATTCTATTGCTTTTCGAACTGCAAACGGATTTCCGGATACCAATCAGAAGACCGGATCCATGGGATAAAGAAAAATAAAATTCTGTTGAACTTCTGTTGAAATTAAAATGGATCGCCAAGTGCAAGCAAGAAAAGCAGATTCCTCAAATTGTAAAAAGTAAAAATTTATCGAAAAGAAACAATCCTGTTAAGCGTAAAATTCTGGCACTGAAATCAGGAAGGGATGTCAATTGGAGACATTACAAACAAAACAAGAAAAAATGGTCTTTTCGTGGATTCCGTTCTTTGCTCACATAAAGAATATGAGGAATTTAGTCTCACGTTTTCCACTAGAACTGGAGGTGGAACAGTTACATTGAATCAATAGCTACATCTATCACAAGGAATGTTTGTCCTTTGTGTCGCGCCAGAAGTTTTTTCTCGCCTGAGTCTATCCTTCAAATCTACCATTCGTCCTTGCATTGAATACTGTTGCCATATATGGTCTGGTGCCCCCACGGTTCATCTCCAGGTCCTCGACAAAATCCAGAGTCGGATATGAAATGTGATAGGTCCTGATCTGGCATCTCGTCTACAGCCACTTTCTCACTGATGTGCTGTGGCTTCCCTCTATCTTTTCTACAAATATTTTCAGGGCAACTGCTCTGATGAGCTACTTTCACTGGTACCCAAATTGCATGGATTTAAGCGTGCTACTAGGCTGGCATCTCGGTCCCACCCTTTCACTGTCGAAACGGTTAAATGTAGTCGTCCCTTCTACTCCAAAACTCAAGGACACATTGCACAGTGGATAAAGGCGTTTGTTGAATCCAGTGACAGGACCCAAAGAGTGTGAGTTCAATACCTGGTTAAGGCGATGGAGAACTTTGAGAGGAGAATTAACAGGAGATAACTGATAACTGGCATCCATTAAACATGGCACATGGAACTAGAACAGTCTACCTCAGTGAGCGAAATAAATGGTTCAGTTCGACATTCCAACCACCTGAAGAAGGCCGGAGCGTACAACGGCCGAAACGTTATAATAAATATGACGACAAAGATGAGGACAATAGTCCGAATAATGTAAATAGTGTATATAATATCTCATCTCAGAAATATTGACAGATACTGAAAGGCCGAAACGTTGTGATAAATATGGCGACAAAGATGAGGACAATAGTCCGAATAATGTAAATAGTGTACATAATACCTAACCTCAATAATATAGACAGATACTGAAAGAACTGTACCAAATAACAGAAACCACTTCACTTGAGGACTACCAAGAGCAGCAACAACTAAAATGGATAGCACATGTAACTCGAAGAGAAAATAATGGCAACACGATGTTAACATTAAAAACCACACTTCAAAATAGGTGAGGAAGGTTATTAATAGTGGAAAGAGCGATAACAGCTACTGAACTAGTTAAACCAGTTTTTCTAAGAAAGTGTTTTAAGAGAATGATTATAACTTTCATCTGAGAACAATACTGGCTGCTCGGTCAATGAATGTCAATTGTTTCCTTGCAGGGAAAAGGATAATATTACAGTTAGTATGAGAGAAATCAGATGAAATAGTGAAGAGAGTGCTGCAGTGTTGAAGATACTTGTTGTCACTTGATCTCCAATGAAAGCCAGCAGCTCCTTCTCGTGCGAATAGTCAGTGAATAGCATGAATAAAAAGTAAAGACATAAGCATTACGATAATAATCATCATAACAGATTTGCTTTCATGGTCAAAAATGTCAGATGATGACAGGTTTAGTTTAATATTCATGGAGTCAAGATTGGTGGCAAGAGTTTAAGGTTCGCTGCCAAAGATTTAGTTTGGAGTCGGCAATTTTAATCTTTACTCAACGATACCGGAATTCAGTGGCATCATGTTTTGAAGAGACAAAGAAAAGAAAAGATATTAACAAAAGTGGCAAATTAAATGTTGTATTTATTTGTGTGAATGCGCAAAGAGAACTCTTTTTATTATTCTTTTTACTTGCGACAAATTAAGATTTTGAGAAAAGTAAATATCATTAATATGGTGTCGGTTGTGAAATAAGATTGGATTTATAGCAAAAATAAAAAAAAGCAACAAAAAAGATGGTGGATAGACAAGGAAGGAATTGTGAAACGAGAAAATAAAATGGCGACTTAAGAAGAGGAATTTATTTTTACTTCTGGTTAACAATTTGATTGATTGATCCGTTGAATTTATTCCCGTAGGAAGACTATGCACACACACGCGCTTACACACACACACACACACACACACACACACACACACACACACACACACACACACACACACACACACACACACACACACACACACACACACACACACACACACACACACACACACACACACACACACACATATATACAGTGTGTCCATAAAGTTCGTGTGCACATTAAAAAATTTATAACTTTATTTGTATTTACGATAGAAATAATCTGTAAAAAGGATTAGAAAGAAATAAATCTATATTTTTAAGATTTTATTGAAATTTTATCTAAGTTTCCACATGTCCTCCATCATTAGCAATACAAAGGGTAATACGATTTTGCAGTTCACGGAAAACATTTGCCAACTGATTTACAATAATGCCTGAAATCACATTAGTTATTTTAGCTATACTTAAAACTAGGTACATTAAACTTTATAGCATTTTTTACAGATTATTTCTATCGCAAATACAAATAAAGTTATAAAATTTTTAAAGTGCACATGAACTTTATGGACACATTGTATATGTAAGACGGAAAGAGAGAGGGAGATTGAGAGAGTAGACAAAATGAAAAGGAGAAAAATTGAGCGATAGAAGTAAGACAATATGTGATTTAGGATAAAAAAAAAGCATAAAAAAGGAGAGAATTATAGTCAAGAATATAACAAAGAAGGAGAAGAAGAAGCGCAGGAAGAATATAAAGAAGAAAAAGAAGAAGAAGAAGGAAGAAGAAGAAGAAGAAGAAGAAAAAGAGGAAGAAGAAGAGGAAGTATGAGAAATGGAAGAAGAAGAGGAAAAAAGGATATGAATGAGAAGTGGAAGAAGACGAAAAGGGGGAAGAAGAAGAATGAGAAAGGGAAGAAGAAAAAGAAGAAGAAAAAGAAGAAGAAAAAGAAGAAGAAGAAAAAGAAGAAGAGAAATAAGGGGAAGAAAAAGAAGAAGAATGAGAAGTGGAAGAAGGGGAAGAAGTAGAGAAAGAAGTGGAAGAAAAAAGATTTATTTTTTCCTCTCAAAGTCGTTTTTCAATCTGCCTATTTCTCCCTAAAGCAATATATTTTCGTTTTAACCCCGCTTCTATATCCCTCTTCTTTCATTTAGTTACTCTCTCTTTATAATTCCTCCATTCTTCTTGCTCTTTGTCTTTCTTTCTTTAGAAATCCGGCATCTTAACTTTAATGCTTATCTTTTTCTCCCTCCATTTTTATTGTCCAACCCTCTCTATCTTTTTCTTTCCGTTTTCTTTTCACTTTTTTCTTCATCTTTTATTTTCTCCTCCTTTTTATCTTTTTTTTTCTACCGCTCATCTTTCCTTCTCTCTTTCCTTCTTGCTTTCTTTTTACATTTAATTTTCTTCCTGCACTTTCCAGTTTATTTATTTCAATTTATTTTATTCACTTTCTATCATTTGCCGCAATTCTTCATTTCTTGCTTAAATTAAAAAAAAAAAAAGTTTTGCCGTTAAAAGCTTCTCTTCTCACGCAAGACCCCGGAATTCTATTTATTATAGACATGATGACTGATTTGTTTTTTACGGCTTATCACCCCGTTCTGGGTTATTTAAATCCGAAAAAATATTTCGGATTATAAGAATATATTTTTTTGTGAGTGAATATTGTGTTAACAGTTTTTGAGACTAATAATTTTTATCCTTAGGTAGCAATTTTTTATTTCCTATTTGCTTACGCAATGGAAAATGGCTAATATACCCTTCAAACTTTGTCTTGTGACAAGGATAATGCTATTTTTGAAATGTACCTATTTCTATTGAAAAAACTGGAGAATGTGAACATTTTCATCCACGTAAAGTAGGAACAAAATGACAATTAATTCCAAAGTAGCATTTATTTTAAGATACCACAATATATAGAAGTCAATAGTTATTCGCGATTTACGCTTATACTGGAATTGAATTCACAAATCAATCTCTGAATTTAGTGAATCAATGAACATCCCTCAAACCTCTGGTTTGTAATGTATGTTAAGTGATTGCCTAAGACCATTGATATCACTGCAGCACACCAAATCACTTTCCATATAAGGAAGAATGCGACTAGATCCTCGTGATGATCACAGAAATACTGATAGCTAAGAGATTCCAATGCTGTAACCTGGAACCTAACAATTCTGATTTACTTTTAGGAAGTTCCAAATCTCTGACAGAATCCTTTAGATCCCTTTGAGTTATGAGCTGTTCTTCAGAGACGTATCTTGGACAATAATCTACGTCATATGAAGCTGATGTCTCAGGTTCATTTCATTATTTTCCCCCATCATGTGACTTAATTTCATACGATACCGGTGCTTCTTGGACTCATATATCTTCCCTATTATAGACAGGACGCAAAGCTGATGGAATATGTGGATATTGCACTGTCCATTTCTTTATACTATCTCTCTCTCTCTCTCTATATATTATATATATATATATATATATATATATATATATATATATATATATATATATATCGCCACCGAAACCGTGATATCACCCCTGGTCGTCGGCTGATGAAGACAGGGTATCGCACGTGCTAACACACGTTATATATTATATATATATATATATATATATATATATATATATATATATATATATATGAAAAATATACTCTTAAGGTGTTCTGTTTCATGCTAGACACAATCGTCAGACCACGAGTGTTGTTTTTTTTTCGGCTATTTATATATACGGGTCAGTGGCGCCAAAATAGACTACCCACAATGCACCACTGGCCCGTATATATAAATAGCCGAGAAAAAAACAACACTCGTGGCCTGACTATTGCATCTAGCATGAAACAGCCTGTCGCCTCTAACTGTTGACTTCAATGTCCACTCATATATATATATATATGTGTGTGTGTGTGTGTGTGTGTGTGTGTGTGTGTTTTGTTTTTGTGTGAGTGTTGGAGTTTTCTAGAAAATTCAATTTAAAATATCTTACATGTAAATGCACATACACAGGCGCGCACACGCACGCACATGTGCACAGACACATATATTTATAATTTTTTTCCATTTTTGCTTTTCTGAATTCATGAGATGAAGAGTTATCTTTTTTATACTAATAGATTAGGACTTTTGTCCTTATCTTTGCTGTTTTTGTTATTGCAAAGTTTCGGCCGTTGTTCAGGTTGGCCTTCTTCAGGTCAACAAAAAACAAAACTAAACCCTTTAATTCACGACGAGCGATTGTTTTCGTTCCGTTGTGTCTTCTCGGTGCCGTGTCACTTCACATCGTTGGCGATCATGGCTTTCCTACCTTTTTTTTCTTTTGATTCTGGTCCTGCTTTTTCTTTTCTGATTATTTTTCCCAGTGCTGAATCCACTTCAAATTTTAATATTTTTGGTCCTTCATTTTTTTTTTCAATATATTACTGATCATTCATTTTCGTCGTGGAAGACTTCTCCGATATATTCGTCCCATCTCATTATTTTTCTTTCTTTAACATCAGTGTCCGTCCTTTGATTTTACGCATCCAGATGTGCAATTTTTTTCTCCAGTTAATCATTAATTTATTCATATCCGCTTTATCAGTGATGCTCATTCTTTTTATTTTTTGCACATTTTTCATTGAGCCGTTCCTTTTTAGCTTGCCTGCATTTATTTGTGCAAAGTCCTATATTCTTTACCTTACCGTGGCATTTATTTCTTCCCCTATTCATCATCTCGAGAATTTCATCCGTCATGCATTCATTTTTTTCTTTGTCTATCCTCCTTTGGGATTATATCAATTGCTGATGTTGTTCTTAATGTGCCCCACTTCCTTATATTTCTTCTTTACATTCGGGTCACTCAGTCGAAAGTTAGGCACGTTTTGCAATATAAAACTACATTCTTGAATCTCTTATTGATATTTACATTCATGGTTCATCGATTCTCCTCTTGGTCTCCTGCATGTCCATTAAAGCAGGTCAATTTTGAAATCCTGGTACGGAACCATCATGTAATATATTATACAGTGTAACAGGTTTAGGTTCAAATTTGTAGGGAATTTCATTTTGGTGATCACTAAAAGTCTTATATACAAATTATAATTTGTGCTCAGCAGTATTATGGCGCTATATACACTTTTATCTATTTTTTGTTTTTATCAGTTATGATCTATGCAAGGATGTAAAAAATTATATAAATCTTATTCATTGAGTAGCCTTTTTTGTAATCTTTTACAATTTTTTTTACAGTTTTTACTTATCGAATACAGTAAAAAAAATCCATAATTTTTTGTTGTGATTCATAATTAGAATTCTGGTTTTAATATATTTTCAATTCAATACAAAAGATATCAGCTTATTTCGATTTATTTTCGATATAGTAAAATTTTGAAGTTAATTTTTAAGCAAAAAACCTGCGGAAATTAGGTATTTTTCTACATTTTTCAGATGATCTTTAAAATTAAATGCTCAAAAAAATGCTAAAAGCTATGAATCTAATTTTTAGTGTCAGTACTTATAACATCAAACTTCAGCTGAGTGCAATGGGGATTTTCTAAAAAAAAAAAAAAGAAAAAAGAGAAAATAAACCTGACCTGATATCCATATACGTTTGGGTGAGCTTTGGAAATGCTAATGGCTTCTACCTGATCATTTGTTGTGCACCATTGAATCCATTCTTCTTTGCGTTCAATATGACTTCTTAGTCCGAATTTGCCAACTATTTCACAATCTAATTTCTTGCCTACTTTGGTCTTCAGGCCTCCCATGGGGATTGTCATTTCTTCCTCAATTGCATTATCCCCTCTCCGCCTGTATAGTGATTTTCCAAGCGCAGATGTGGCACAAGGCCGAAAGTAGGGGTACCCAGTGAGGATCGAACTCTCTACTCAGTCGTAATTGTTCTAACGAGACAAGCTTTCTAACCATTACACCACGCCGAGGTTCCCAAATGATTTTCAACCGTAGCTTAGATGTGACACAACGCCGAAAGTGCAGGGCACCCAGTGAGTATCGAACTCACTATTCAGTCGTAATAGATTTAGCGCAACAAGCTTGCTAACCATTACACCTCCGCTTGTATACATAATCCTGTGTTTGTCATTGATGAAATATCAGATTGTTTTATTACCTCGTTTCATACGCACCTATCATGTTAAGATGCATCAAGTTCATTGCCTCTGTAGATGTTTTAATGGGACAGAATCATTTACTTTTGTAATATTCCATGTCTCAAGAATTATTTTTGCTTAATGGGAAAAGTCTCTGGATGACAGTTTATTTTTCCTCCAAATGTTTATGTCTATTGAATAATTTTTTTTCCTCTAAATGATTATCCAAACTCGTGAATGAATTTATTTTCTTCTAAATGATTATAAATTTCGTTTTCCACAAAATGATTATCAAACTTATTGAAGAAATTTATTCATCCTTTAAATGATAATCCAAGCTATTGAATAAATTTATCCTTCCTTCCTTCCTTCCTTCCTTCCTTCCTTCCTTCCTTCCTTTAAATAATAATCTAAGCTATTGGATAAATTTATTATTGTTCTAAATGATTAGTTACCCTACTGAATAAATTTATTTTTTCACTAAATGGTTATCCACTCTGTAGAATAAATTTCGTTTATCACAAAATAATTATCAAACCTATCGAATAAATTTATTCTTCCTCTAAATAATAATCCAAGCTATTGAATAAATTTATTATTCCTCGAAATGATTATCTACCTTATTGAATAAATCTATTATTGTTCTAAGTGATTATCCACTATATTGAATGAATTTATTTTTCCCTTAAATGATTATACACCATATTAAATAAATGTAAAATGCTATTTAATTTTTTAATGATTTAATACACTTAAATTATCCCATAATTTTGTTTCTCTTCATTATTGAATTTCAATCTTTCGTAAATGTCGTTTGCATCTTCTCTTATTATTGACAAAAAGACAGATGTTTGGTAGCTGCTATTAGGTTTTTTGTTGAGTCGACTGGCTTTTCAATAATTTCGAAAATTTCGAATGAATCTTTTCCATTTAGTAGCCAAATTCTCTGATAAAAGCATTTTTGCAGGA